AAGGATAATTACCCCTGGACAGTCCAAATTAGTTTTGCATAATCGCTCAGAACCATATGAATTAATTTATAATATTGCAAAGCGCCGGGGGAATAACAAAAGAAGGATCGTTTTAATTAGTGAATCAGGGTCAAACGAACAGTCTGTTCCGCAAATCTTCCAAACTTTTCACTTTCTGAACATAATACGAGGAGAATGCTGATTTTAAAGGCATTTGTTCATGGGCTCTTGTTGGTATCACAATTAAGGATGCAGCCAATCACTCTCGAGGGACAAAATGGGCTAAGAGTTCGAATTTAGAGATTTTAAATCTTAGCAGGTTAAAGGCTACTTTTTACTGTGTTATCTTTTATTCATTCATTTTGCGATTCCTGCAATTCCCTTTCTAAAATGATTCATTTGCTGCTAATCCTGTTTCAACTCTGTATCCGTCTATACTCACACATGCAGATGTGGGCTCGATTTACATTTGAAAACACCCTTTAAGGTAATAAAATCAGACAAGCAGGGTAGAGGCAAAAGGTGTTAACGTTTTTGTTAGTAACTATCAGAGCCCCAGTGAAAAACCTCAAGCTGTAAATAGGAAATACAGTACTTCTAAAATAGTTGAACAAATTACACGGATTTAAGCAGAGAAGCTCTTTATGCTAACAAGATAAAGTGGTCAGGCAACTTTCCACTCTGAAAATGTTACTGGAAACCGATTAAATGGTTTGAGCGGTCTGTGTGTATTCAACAGACCCCGTTCTACTGGTTCATGAATACTTTTTTTTAATACAACGACTGTTTTATCTTCTTTCCTATTCACGATTTAAAATGTGATAAATCAGGTTTTTGGCTCTGAATAACAATGGCTTGATTTAGATTTCCTAGTAAATCTACTCAAAAGTGAAACAAAGACAGCCTTTGGAGGATACCTTACACTTCACCTGGACCAGGAGCGGAATGGCAATTCAGATAAAAATCTTGTTAGTAACTCAACAAGAAATAGAGGATTTCTCTTTTCCCTGCTTCAGGCTTTATTTAAACTCTTTGTTCAAAAATGAACAGAGTGGTAGTCGGATTCTATTTTACAGATATAGTTTAGACGTCTAATTTTAAATTAGAAAATCACACAAGAAAACCATTTACACGTAAATGTTAAAACCAATACTTAAACTTTTTTCTTTATATTACATAGAGCCAAAACGAAACTAAATACATGTTAGCCAGCTTCATTCACAAACATTAGTCAAAATATACACATTACAAAAGTAAAAAACGAAAACAAATAACAACAAAAAACCTCTAACTGATGAAGGTTTTTCTCTAAAATTTATTTTTTGTTTTTAAATCATTATTTGCAATTGAATTGCAGTTGCTCTAAAAATAACCTAAGCAGGTAGGAAGGGTACTCCAAAACACATTTAAACACTTCATGTTTGATAGGGAATGGTTCTTTGAACATGAGAATATTCTTCTGCTGTCAAAACAACCTCTGTTTCAGTTAAGCTAAATAATAAATATATAATTATCACTCAGACAAAAAGTCTGATTTAACCTTAGATAAAATTGCGATCCTTAAACGGTGACGCAATATTTGTATTTATTCTGAAAGGCGTTCATTTTTTTTTTTTTTTTGAGTCTAAAACTGACTCAAATGTGGGCAAAGGAAGCAACATATTTTCAATCAAAGACCTAACGTTTCCACAGAAATTTACAAATTTACAGTCTTAAGGTGAGACCTAAGGATCGGGAAAAATAAGAGACACAGGCTGTAAATTAAGAATGAAATTTGTATGAGTGTCCCATAGAAGAGGACTTCAGGAAGTCGTGTGGGATATGTTAAGGGGAGCGGGGGGCTGGGGAGATCAGAGGGACAGTATTTCACTTTACAGTCTATTTCTTTTTGTGTTTCCTGCTCCCATTCGCATAGGACTTGATATAAAACGGAGGAAACATTTCAGATCCAAACGCCAGATTTGTCCCTCCACTCTGTCAACAATTTGCTCCCTTTTTGGCGGTGGTGGTGTTGCAGTGAGAACGTTTTGGAGAAGTTCAAATAGCACAGATTTGGGGGGCGGGAGGGGAGACAGGCCAGGCAAAGGAAGATGCACTTAGGGAGAAACCAGTGAGAGAACAAGCCCTTTCAGCTCAGGTATCTGCAAAGGCTGCATGCAACACACACCAATTCTAAAAAAAAGGGGGGGGGGGGCAGATGGGGGAGCCACCTCTAGCTAGGGAGTTTCTTCTCAACGGTGTCTGTGGGCAACACGCAACAGGTCCGAGGAGGGCCAGCCAGGCACCACCTGCTGCTGGAGCAGCGAGAAGTTTGCAGCAGGAGCGCAGGGCAGAAACGCTCCCGTTTACACGGACACTCGCCCCCGTCCCGCCCTTGCACCTTCCCCGTCGGCGAGTCCGCAGCTGCTGGCGCCCATTCCTCTGCACCTGTCCCCAGGCGGCTCTCCCAGGAGCCGAGGCTGGGAGTCCGCCGCTCGGCTCCGTCCGTACGGCGGGGATGTCATAGCGCCGCCGCGTAGGCTGCCGGGTACGGGTCCAGCTGGGGCTTGCCCATGCCGGGCAGCAGGATGTAGGCGAGGGGCGGCTGGAGGCCCGGGCTGGGCCAGGCGCTGCAGTTGCAGGGGATCATGTAGCCCGGGTTGCCCGGGGACGGGTGCGAGTGAGTGTGCCCCCCGGCGGCGGCAGCGGCAGCTGCGGCGGCGGCGGCGGCCCCGTGGAAGGCGCCGGCTCCCGCGGCTCCTGGGTAGGCCAGGGAGGAGGCGTAGGGCAGCGCCGAGGCGGAGGAGGACGACGAGAGCTCTGCCATTTTGGAGCCCAGGTCCAGCAGCGAGTAGGGGCTGCTGGCGGCCGCGGCGGCAGCTGCTGCGGCGGCGGCGGCCGCCGACTGGGGGAAGAAGACCCGGGCGGCTGCTGCTGCGGCGGCGGCGGCCGCTTTCTCCGGGTTGGCCAGCAGGGAGTCGTGTACCAGGCCCCCGCCTGCCCCGCCGTGCAGCCCGGCCGCCTTCAGCCCGTGCGGGTGGTCGGGATCCGCCAGGCCGTAGGGCACCGGGAAGGCGAACTTGTCCTTCTTGAGCAGGGTCTTGGGCTTCCGGCGGGGCCGGTACTTGTAGTCGGGATGCTCCTTCATGTGCATGGCCCGCAGCCGCTTGGCCTCGTCGATGAAGGGCCGCTTCTCCGCCTCGGTGAGCAGCTTCCACTCGGCCCCCAGGCGCTTGCTGATCTCCGAGTTGTGCATCTTGGGGTTCTCCTGGGCCATCTTCCGGCGCTGCGCCCGGGACCACACCATGAAGGCGTTCATGGGCCTCTTGACATGATCCACCGGCTTGGACATGCTGGCCCCCGGCAAGCCCTGCAGCTGCTGCAGGCTGCAGCCCACCCCGCGCTGGCGGCCGCCTGCCCCGGTCACCTCTCCCCCGCCGCTCGCAGCCCGCAGAAAATCAATCTTTGCTCCGCAGCAGAACGAGTCCGGGAACTGCAGCACCAACTTCGGGCCGCTCCTCCCTCTGGGCCTCCCGGGAGGAAAAGTCCCGCACCTGGGGGCTGCTGGGCTCCAGATGGCCCCAACCTCGGGCTCCTCTCCGCACCCTGAAAGCCGATGTCCCAAACGGCAGGTCCCCTGTGCACCGCTTTCCTCTCCGTCCAGAGCTGGCCCCCAGCCAGGAGACTGTCCCGGGCTCGGGTCTCTTCTTTCCGCCGGGAAGTTTCTTTCTTTTCTCAAGCAGGATTTTGAAACTCTCTCCAAACGCCGCTCGGGTTGGATGCTGGTGCCCCCAGAGTTCAAAGGGAACAACGGAAAAGTGCAAACATCCCCCCTTCCCCTTCCACTAGCTCAACTCTTCTCGGGGACTTGTCATTTGACAGCGGCCGGGGGGAGCAGGGGAGACACGGCGGCTTCCTTCCGTGCAAGGCGAGCCGCGATCCAAGCAATAATCACAGAGTCCTACCCATGGCGAGCCTGCAAACAAACCGCGGGCCGGCGCTCTCCGGACGCAGGGCGTGTGGCGGGGGCAGCGGGAGCTGTCCGCTTTCCTCCCCGGGCCGCTTTAGCGCGAGGCTAGCGATTAGCCGGGTCCCTTCTGCTCACAGCCAGATATCTGCCCCCGGCGAGCCGTTGCGAGCCGCTTTTTCCTCGGACATACTCGCTTCTTCTCCTTCGCCTGCTGGGGGAGGCGGAGGATTGTCCCCCACTCTGGTCCGGGCTCCGCAACGCCTCCTGCTGCGGCCCCTAGCGCCCACGCGAGCCGTGCAGGGCAGGAACCATCGGCCCCGCTCAGCGCCGAGTCCCGGGATCAGGTTCCAACTTGGAGCTCGGCGGCGGCTCCCAGAGCTTCCAACTAACTTCGCCAAGTTTCATGCGGGCTCCCGGGCAGCTCCACTCCGGCTCGCTCGCCCCCTGCCTGGCTCCTCCTCTGTTCGGGGCTCTCTGGGCTTGCCTAGCCAGAGAGTGACTTGGGGGCGGGCAGGGGAGGGAAGAGAGGGCGAGGGGGTTTCTAATTAAAATGCTCGGCGATCTCAGCTAGGCAGAAGTGGAGCCGGTTATAAAGTCCCTTGTGTAGCTTGCAGCAGTCTCAGTCGCTCCCGCTTTTTGCCCCTCTGCAGCGGGAGCCAGAGACAGGCAGGTAAAGCTCTCCCTGCGTGTGCATGTGGGTTGGCTATGTGTTGCATGTACAGTGTGTGTGTGTGTGTCTGTGTGCAGGGGAACGTGGGGCCCGGCGGGGCTAGTGAGAGGGAGGGACAGCGGGAGCGCCGGCTCCCACCCCCAGCCATTGATTAAACAGCATTCCCCTCCCTTTCACTTCGCTGCAGGTTAGGGGGGTGGAGACACCAGAGCCTGCCCTGCCGGGCAGAAGCGGAGTCTGCGCAGCGCTCGCCAGCTAAGTTGGTGTCGAAACACAACCTCGGAGTATTACCCAACTCCGAAGAGCCGCCACGTCCGGCACCCGCAAATCGGCTGCTTCTCACTAGGCGGAGAGAGTTTATTTCGATAACTTGTTCATGATCCCCCCCTCCTCCCTCCCCCACTTATTGAGTTACACAGCCGGACAGTCCCCCTTTCTCCTTGGCTGTTGATCCTGGAGATACTGCCTTCCCCAGACTCCCTTTGCCACAGAGGAAATGTCCCAGGAAGGAGGTTGACTCCAATTTAGGATCACCGGAGCAACTTGCTGTCAGGTGGCCAGTTGTTTTAAACAGCCCATTTTAAGTCGACAACAGGCACCGCTCGCTGTCAGCAGCCCCCTTATACGTTTGTGCTGGTTGTTGTTTTCAAAACCTTGTTAAAAGCATACTGCTAGTTTTCTCTTTATATACTAGGCTGGAGATCATTAAGCTTACCGATTGCACTGAGTACCTAGAGCGGCGTCAACATTACGGCTATACAAAGAAAACGGGTCTCAATCGCACTGATCCCAAGATTACGTATTTAAATATTGTTCGTTGCCAAGGTTTTGTTTACTTTTGCCCAATGAAACAAAGAATTCTCTCCCCGTTGAAAAAACCCACAACCCATGCTTTTGGCAGCGACGTGAGCTCTTCGATTTGCATATTTTCTTTACTTCTTGATATGCTACTTCGCACTCACCCCAACCCGTTCTGTCTGAATGTGTTGCTAACAAGTTGGCCTGTCAGTCAGGGTGAACTCGCTCGCCTTGTTTGTACTTCGGCGGATTGGTTTTGACTTACCTTTGTGGTATGTGGAAGTACGAACTCCAATACACCATTAACTCTTTCACACGTTAACATCAGGCCGAGGTGTATACCGACAGATCTCGGCTGTAAGCGCTAAAGTCAAGGCTGGATCTTGGGATGGCAGCCACAATCCCTTCACTCAGCGCGCGAGAGAACACCCCTGGTCATTCCCATGCTCTGTTTCAGTAATCACTGGGGGAAGGCGTTTGGGGAAATGTATGGGGGGGGATTTCTTTTATTGCCACAGTAAAAGTAGCTCTGTGAAAAGTTCGTTTCACATCAACTATGCGCCTGTGTTGGTGAAACTATGTGTTTGAGGGGCTCTCTTTGTAAGCACCTTCTTTCAAAAGTCGGCCAATGGGCGGAGGAGCACAAACGTCAGCTATGGTTAATCAGGCGGCTCTATAGACAGAGCGGGCTATGATCATCCATGATCATAATGGATCATCATCCATTATGAAAAACTATAATCCTACCGTTTTTATGCTACTAAGACATTTTCAGAAGCTCTACCGCTGAAGTAAAGATAGGAGATATTTTCTCTCCCCTCTCTCTGTATGTCTGGTGTGTTGCATATACATATGTCCAAACTGATAGCCAGCCCGAGCTGGTGAAAATCAGTACAGCTCCATTGACTACGCTGGACCTGTCTGTCTACACTAGTTGAAGATCTTACCAGTTAAAATGCCCTGAATAATTTACACATAAAATGTACCTACCCTGTCTTCATATTTAATGTATTATCCCTTTACCACTCATTTATACATATTCCTCTCAATCTTCAAATCCACCTTGCCAACTTTTGACCCCCCGCAATCCATTTAGCTGTGAAAAAGTTACAATCGGTTGTCAAAAGCAGGGAGATTAAGCTATCTACTCGCATTGACTGCCGTTTAGGCTTAGAATGGAAATCCTATTTCTTGAAGGTTGAAAAAGTGACCAAGAGTGGCTGTAGCCAGCGTAGGTATTACTACTCTCCAGGTCACTTTTTCAATCCACCGCCAATAATTTCCCGCTCTGAAATGAAAAGTCAATATTTCAAATCATCTCATTTGTATTAACCAAGGAGCAATTTCATATTCCAAGCATTCGATGGCATCCTTTATTGCGGAAAAATATTTAATCCCATAGCTCTTTTTGCCTAGATCAGAAGCCGGCACAATCATTTCCTTCCTGTATTTCAGTGCAAGGGGAGGAAGGGAGAACATTATTTATATGGCCCCGACCACCGTGAGAACCCATAAAAGCTGTGACAAAGAGTTAAAACAGAGAGAAGAGCCACCCTTTGGCTGCTACTGCCAATCAAATTCCACACCCTTAGAAGAGTGTGGGATAGGCGCCCAATCCCTTACTCCTTATCCTGCCAAAAATCTCATTAACTCCATTAGAAAATTCGTATAAGGAGTATGGGATCCGCCTTCTGAATGATTAACAAGGATGTTTCATTTTCCTCTCTGCTCTCCTGTTTTAGATATTACTCCAATCGGTGATTATAACAAGGGGAATGGGACTTCCCTCCACGCCCTTAGATCCGAGTACTCTATATAGTGAAATGCAGTGGTCCATGGTATTCTACTGTCGAACAATTCGCCGAGAGCCGAGCTGTATCTGACAATGTGTGGCAGAAAAACAACAGTGGACAGAAGTACAAAGAAGAATGATTCAAAAATCAAAAGCACGAGTCTCTTCTTACGGGCTAGGTGTAGACTTGCCAATTTGATTGACGTGGACAGAGTGGCAACAGTTTTTAGTCCGTCCATGCGTTAGTTTGTGGACTGTTGTGATCCTATTTGGAGCTTGTGGTTCACAAGGGACAACAGTGATTCTGTGGAGAAATGATGAATGTACAAACATTTTAGCTTTTCACAGACACTGCACGTAAAGAAAGGCTCTCGCAGCTGACAGGGATGGCTGATAAACACAGGTTGGGGGGTGGGAGAGGACTTCAGGAGATTTTCTAAGGTTAATGTTCATCATTGCCTCTAAAATCCCTCAGAGAGATCAGAACAATGAACACGTGCATCTTGATATACTCATGCCTCTGTGAAAGAATAAGAAAAATAAGCGTCTAGGTAATTGACAGCACAAGTATGCCCCATCTCACTGACTCCTCTCTTGAAAAAAAGTCACCATTTGCAAATGCCTGACTTCACAAATGTATGTTTCTGATTATTTGGTAGGATTACAAAAAGTGAAAAACTAATAAAAATAAAAGATTTTATTGGTCATAAATTATTTGACATTCTTTCTCAGACTGATATATTGCTATGATTTGGGTTGAGTACATTTTTCTAGTTTTAAATGAAACACTATATACAAAGATCTAGTTTCAAAAGTGCTTTTCTTTCCACGTAACGCTTGTGGTAACCACTGGCTGTTGTAGAATACACATACGGTCCGTAGTTAAAGGTCTGTATTTCTATGGTAATTTGCTGTCAAGAGGTGTGAACGAGGTGATGTTGACTTCACTGGGAGTAAATTTGGACCTGCAGACTCCGATTAGGAGTGAATGTAGAGTTTAGGCTTTCACTCCATCCTTCACACACCCTATGGTGCCTAAATATAAGAGCACAATGGGACTGATCCTGTTGGAGCAGGACAGGGCTCATGGTACCTAACATCAAACACTATTTTAGAACCTTG